TAATTCAGTTTTATTGTTAAAATAACCTTTTACTCTTTATCCATGAAAAGAGACGTGGAGCGGGAGATTCTAGACTCGTCCTAAATGCTTCAGAAAGTTCTGACAGTCTACATCTGCTTTAACCTTAATGGCTTGAGGGGCGGACGTGTCTGTAATGTCATTCCGGGAATTCTTGCTAAGGCTGTCAGGGAGCAGAAATGGGCCGCATCCTCCAGCAAGGCTTTACAAATATGCTTGTTTATCATTTTTCACATGAAGTCAATGTGTTTCCTCTCAGTGGTAAAATTCACAGCGTAAGTGTATTACAGCAGAACAACAAACCTTCTAAATGTAGGAATAAGAAAATCACGCCCGTTTCCGTGTTTGAAACAAGCATGAAAAACTCTGGCAGCCAGTACACATTCACACGTCTCAACATACACACTCTTGTAAAGTCCTATACGAAGAATTCAAAAGGTGACAACAGTCAGCAAGACCTGATCATGAGTATGACAACAACATTTTATATAAATGAGTATATTATACTATAAATTAGCAAAAAATGGAAATGATAAATATACCAATTGAATATTTTACTGGAGAATTTAGCAAATCATTGTCTAAAAAATAATACTTTTAAACTCTTGTAAGTGTAAAATACATGATTTATATGAACTTACACATTACTTCCTTGAAGTGTTTGGCATAAGCTATTAAATTGATCTAAATAGTAATAAATGGGATTCATGTAAACACTAATTAGCACAATGAGAATGTCTTGGGCAGGGACATGGAAACTGAGCCATATCAGTGAGCAATATGTTTGTTTAGGAATTGGGTACCAGGCAGTGACATGAGTAGCCATGACAGGATAAAGCTTTTGTCTGCTGAGGGGACAAGAATGGAAAACAAAGATGGGCAAGAACTGAAAAACTCAATGGGTAGTATTCTACTACCATTTTTGGCTCGCACGGGGACTTCAGCCTGAGTTACCAGCAAAGGAACTGAGGATTATTTACATCCTATGGGGACTAACTGAATAAATGCCGATAATCACAGTCTCCCCCCGGAGGCGAATGGGCAGCACTGCACCCCTCTCCCACACGGCATTTTCTGTTTACGTCAGCTAATTAAAGCCTACCATCCACACACCCCTGCTGGAAATGCAAAACCAACCCCTGCAAATTAATTAGTCTTAAAACAAAGAGATTAAAAGACACGTTTGGAAGCACACAGCCGCTCACAGATACTGCAGGACATGAAAGGAGCCTCTGAGGATGGGAAGGCCAAGCACGGACACTCACACCCTCTACGCGCCATTAGCACACCAGTCAGCTGTACGTTTGTTTTTGTCAGTCTGTTTTGTCGGGGGCAATGATGCTAATGAGACCTCCTTTTCCGAACCCCTCCCCCCCCACCCCACTACCACCACCATCTGCACCTCCACATCCACTCTCCAGCTTCTATACACAGCTGCCCCCACTTCAACTCCCCCCCCACCCCCACTATGCATCACCAACAAGCCCCCTACTTGCACCAACTAGGGAAATGAGAGATTCACACAGTGGTATCAGCAGTTTCTGACAGCTTCCTGGGACAAACTTCAAGAAGCGATGCCAGGGAAGGAGATGTACAGGGAAACTTCACGTAAGCCTCCTCAGAAGCAAGGCCATATATAAATTATTAACATTGCTGTCCCACTGTATTCCCTTATTTAAATATTTAAACACAGGCCCCGCCAACCATCACCACAAAAAAAGGAACATTTTAAATACAACCTAGAAGGTAGAAAAGTCAGACTCATCTCCCATCTCTGCCAAAGTCTTCAGGACCAACATGAACAAAAATGCGAGGTGCGTAAACAACAGCAGGCGAGACTGTGTTCGAGAGCGGCGCCTGTGATGTCTAACCCAAATTCGAAGGTGAGCCTCCTGGGATGGTCAGCTTGCAGATTTAGCAGCACGCTGAGTTGACGTATGCCGCCTCATGGGGGCGCCGAGCACACCTCCCCGCCACACCTCGGGTAGCCACACCTTGGGTAGCTGTGCGGAGCCTACATGAGCATTGCCACACGGGACGGAACCTCAGTCTCCAGCTTCAGAGGTAATGAGGTTAACTCTGAGACCTACACGAAAGTAGAGTGCAAATTAAATGGAGCTCCGAGAAGCCAAGAGAGGTTTGTGAGGAACGACGATAAGGGTTTGGCTAGGGAAGGAGAACAGCCACTACCATACACAGAACACGGCTCAGCTTCAATAAGATAAATGACAGGAATTTATAGAAAAGGGCTAATGACGTCTGTATCATGTTTTGGGATTTAAATGGGGTCAGATGTTTAATGTGCCATTTCCTGGGAAGAATCTAATTTGTTCCTGGCCTACTATGAGTTACACCAGTTCCTGGCACATTTCTGTCATTCCTGATCCTCTCTTAGAGTGTTTTCACTAACATCACAGCTCTCTGCAGTCAGGGTTAATTCACAGCTGCCCTACTGTTCGTTGGCTCACGTCTTGCACGGGTTTCCGGTCATCGGGACGCACGCATGGATGCTCCTCCTGAAGGCCACGGGACGTCCTGTTCCCTCTCAGATGGGGCGGGCTTGACTGCACGGTAACATACAGCTCTACAGAGAGTCCATAAATTACCCCTGGTGTCAGTGTGTTGCTTGGGAACAGGGCACAGAGAGGCACAAACACGTTTCAAGGTAGAACAACCTATCCCCAGTCATTGATCTATTTTGTAATTATGCTTAAAGATGTTCCATAAAGGACCATCATACCAGTTTCCAATCAGGTCTGGTCCAGTTCATGAGTCCCTCAAGTGTACCGCATTATGGGAAGATTACAAGCGCCATGAGCGTTGGACTTGATTAATAGAGATGCTAATGGGGGTGGACGGGGTCACAGAGACCACCTCCCAACACATCAGCATCCACTGGTCTAGCAGCAGTAGCAACAGTGCCCAGGTAATAAGAGCCGGAATGGACACCCTGTGCCTGGGCATTATAAAGAAGTAGTATTCAAGTAACTGCTCCCAGATGACCATAAGGGGTGGCTGGCACAGGAGTCCCAGTAACAAACTCCTGAGCAATCACTCCATCATCCCATCACAGTGCAGGAGCAGATGAATAATTCATACCCTCACTGCACATGAGATCTCCTGGACCACCATACTAGATCAGCACACAACAAAACACCAAGCTCTCAATTGCAATTTCGCCAACACTAAGCAGAATGCACTGTTCTTCAGTGTGGCTGGACGAAGGCTCACTTAAACACCATGCAAATAAATAAATAAATACATCTGAAGGTTTGCTGCAGAAATCTCACAGTCTTTCAGGTTTTCCACCCAAGCTCCGAATGGTGGGAATACTGTGTCAGAGACGATGACGGGCCAGACTATCTGCTTCATGAGACAGGTGTCATGGCGGGTGCGTAACTGTGTGCCGTTTACATGTTTGATCAAACCGGATACTTAACATACCATGACAGAACGGTTCTAACGTTTGTGTAATGGACGTGTGAAAACTGGCAGCACCCCCTGCTGCGCATGTTGAAACTAACAGTCACCATATCGCAGACTCCGTTCCCCTTGTAGCTTCAGAATGCAAACTACACACTAATATATTTGCTTGTGTAACGTTAACAGTTATAATTAACTGTAATTTCTCAAAAATTAAGTATGTATATATTTTAAGGTAATTTAAGTATCTGGCTCTTATTTTACCTTTTTAAAACCTACACTAAATTATTATTGTGAAGAAGTTAATCAAACAAACACCACCACCACCACCAACAACAACAACAAGAACAATAATAATAATAATGAGATTCACTGATCTGATATTCGGATCGGTATCGGCGCCGATCCAGACCTATTTGCCGGTGATCTGTCGATATATGCTGCCTTGTCGAAAAATACTACCGTAGTGCTAATAGATAGCCCTAACCCTAACTCTTACCCTAAACCTAACCCTAACCCTAACCCCCCCAAAACCCCTAAAACCCTTACCTTAACCCTAACCCCTAAAACCTAACCCTAATCCCAAGACGGTGGAACTGCACATGCGCAGAAAGGCTAGATAGCACGTCTCGATAGGTAGTATTTTATGACAGAACACCGGATTGGGTATCGGCCATACATGACGTCCAGTACTTAATATTTCATTTTTGGCATTCTCTAAAGAGATGAAAAATCTCCTGTTTCGTGTTAAATCTGTTTATACTATCAATAGCACGACAGCTCTTTCTCATTTAAGATGCGTTTTTTGCGGCATTCAAGCTGAACGCTAACGCCACCACTGAGTTTTTTTGCTACTCGGTGGGTGTGAAAGCAGTGATTTCCCCCTCCTGTGACGTCATGTGCATACCCTTTACAGTACGAAGAGTGTAATAACATTGGATAAGAGGGTGACAAATCTGGCAGTGTTTTACGTTTTTAACAGCAACTATAGTAGCACGGCGATTTGCAATCTTTGTACAAACAAAGTTTTGAGAGGTGGGAGTAGTGTTTAGTGGAAAATCCACCTAAACAAAACGCACGAAATTGTGCGACAGGACATGAGTAATATGAAAAAAAAGAACAGTGGATGATTTGGGAGTCGCTAATTTGGGCTGTTGCGCATTCGCTACAGCTTGTGATACATTAGGGGCTGCGATTGCAGTGAAGTGTACTGTAAGTGACGCTGTTACCAGTGGGAGAAACATTGTGAGGCATTTTAAGCATTCGCCTCTTGCGTATACTTGCTTGGAAGACATTCAAATGTAGCTGCAAAAGCCTCAAAAACGCTTAAACAAAATGTACAAATGAGGTGGAACAGTGCGTTACAGTATGTATGTTAACAGTAGCCTAATTAAACCATTTTTTTGGCATACATTTTTTTTTCATTTGTATCTGCTAGTTTAAAAATGTTAATAATATATAAATTATAAATATACATTACATATTTATTATATGAAAATATTAAAGTAAAAAGAGCTCCTGTATCGGAATACGAAAGCGAGGAGAAGGGCAGCACTCACCAGTACACAGAGCTAGGGTGTAGGGTCACTAAAATCCAATTTGTTGTTGATGTCCAGCAGGTTTCTAATCCCATACAGGAACCTGGTAGATGAAAAGTAAAATTGTTTCAGGGACTTTTTTCACAAGTGCAAGCTGTAGAAACACAAACCAGTCCACTGAAAACTAGCACACTGACATCCACTTTGTGGTACTCTAACCTACTGATACGCTAACGAACTGATACACCAGCATACTGGTAGCCAAAGATAGTCACATCACTGGCACTCTGATATTGCAGCACCCTGATACAGATAAAAATGCTGAATGACCGAGACCTACAGCAATGCAGTAACTATTTGATCTCACCTTCCTCTATTTTGTACAGAATGTGAATATAGAGATATATACATTATAAATCAATTTTATAAATTACTTTTTTTTGGACAAGAAGCACCAAAAGTTGAGTTGTCATCACAGTTTATGCTGGAAGTTATTGGGGAGAAAAGTCTTTTTGTTTCTGCAGACACCTAGCATTTGCAAATCTCAGAGGGGTTCTCAGTCTTATATACGGGATTGAATTAAACAAATAATCTAGTTAAGCAATTTGTTTATCCAGCAGGAAATCCTCACTTTGCATATTTTGTTGAATTGAAATACACAGTGGATTGCTATGAATAATCAAGGTGAAATGCAGTGTGAAAGACATCCACATGCCACTTGGGGCACCAGTCTGATTCTGCCCAGCTCTTCTTGGTGAGATTTCCGATTGTGCTTTGAAACACTGATATCTCCATCCCAACCTTTTTTTTTCCATATACTAGAAGGTTCTAATGATAATTCATACTAAGAGGTAGGGACTGACCCCAGCTGAAAGATGATTGACTCCTCTAGCAGCCACCCAGACCACCCCCCACCCCCCGCCCCCCGCCCCATCATTCAACGATACAAAACTCATTGGCCTCTGATAAGGTTGGCCCCCCTATGAATTATGCTGCCCAACTTAAAAGTTCCAGAAGCACCACAGAATTAAACCTAAAATTATGAGGCAACGTGTCCATGATGTCTGTAGTCAGCAACTGAGTCATTTACGGAATTTTGATAAAAGCCTCATTAAACCTAAAAACTCAGAACAGTGGAAATTTGCCGACTGCCTATATGTTTCTGACTGATGTAATTCGGCTAAAGAAGCTACATTCCTGTATCAAGAAAGAGCCAGCGCTCAAAAAGATGAACACATTTCAGGTAAAAGATTAATATATCAACAACCTTGAGTTCAACCTCTCGGTATCAGAGGAGTTTATGAAAACGGAACCAAAGGTCTTTGTATAAATTAACTTAAAAGTGCATTCACATGAAACCCAAAAGAACCCCATAAACCTGTGAAAAAGGGAAAAAATATAAATCACTTCCCTGGGGTCACAAAGCATAATAGACACTGTATGAGTCGCACAGACGAAGACTCATTTAAACCCCTGAGCTTGTGATTGATATGGTGACACTTTCATGGAGCCCGTTTTTGGACTCTGCCAGCAAGGACTGGATGCAGATGCTCCTTATATTCATGACTGACGCTGAGAGCCCCATCAAAACGGGAACGCTAACGGAACAAAGCTATCGTCCAATGGCACGGCTTCCAGCGACGGCCTCGCTTTGCCGCCGCAGCCTGGAGCTCTGCGTCACATTTCCATAGCTTATTTACGAGCGACTGGAGGGCCTCTCTTTTTGTAATTAATCTCATGAGGATGCAGTTGAGTAGAACATTCTTATTTATGCATCACATTTCAACTTAATAACTCATAAATCATTTATTTTCCATTGTCATGCATCCTCCCCCTGCTTTTTCTTTGGGCTTTGTGTAACTTAATGTGTATTACATGGCACAGGATCCCAACTACCTGCATCATCAGAATCGCCCAAAAAGTGGATGGACTTCAGACAACTTGATTGCTTCAGAGTATATTTAGGCCCTGCTTGCTCAACAGCAGCAAAAAAAGAAATAATACCAAGCTCCTTTTTTTTCCCTCCCCATCTTGTTTCCTGTTAATTAGACTATCACAATACCATGTCACCGTAGTGTGGTATGCTAATTAGCTTGTTGTTTATGAAATTACACTGGTGGGCTGCTCTCTGTCTCATGAGCTAACACGGAGAGAGATGAATATATTTGATTAATAATAAAATCTTGAAGTAGTTTTTTCATCCTTGGGGTATGGGGTATGTTTGTCATCAATTAAAAAACAGTTCTTTTAGCTTTGAATTACTCACCATTTATATGTAATTGATATATACATCCATCTAACTTCCAACCACCACAAACAAGACATGGGACATCCTGAACTAGATACAACTCTGCTGCTCTATAGAGCTCAACGTATATTGGCTTTTTGGTTCTTTTGCACTATATGGAAAATGAAAATGTGATTTAAACTCCAAGCAGCCTAACACCCCCCCCCCCTCCCCCCCCAAAATGAAACCTTCTGGTAACCCTACTCGCTCTTTACCCCAGATCACCTGTCCCCTCCGGATAGGGAGGCTAATACATTAATAGCTTTTCCGTGGGCAGATGCCTACTGCACCCCTACAGTAACTGGATTACTGCCCCCACCCCAACCTTTGATTCCAGTCAGTTAACACAACAACAATATATCATATAAATTAGGATTTTGAACTTTTACCCTACAGTTTGCGTAGCCCCCTTAATCTGTGCTGCTTTGACCATGAGGGGCACTGCAGGACAAAGGGTATATAAGAGGAAGAGGTCAATAAAATCCTCTTATGTATTTGTAATCCTGTTCCTACTATAAGTGAGCACAAGGATGCAGGGATGTACAGTATGTTTGAGTGCGACAGTCTTTTTCTTTGTTGTCTTAGTAGTTTTTTTTTTTGTTGTTGGTTTGGGAGGTGGGTGGAATAAGGTTTAAGAGTCCGAAGGGGTGCTGTTAAAATCATCAATACTACTGAGGTCATAAACAATGATTATTTCAGATGCTAAATCATTAAATCCCATTTTTAAAGCCTTGGATTCTGCTGGTACTCTACAGTTCCTCAAATGCTGAGGGAAGTAATCGAGTCCTTGATGTGGGGGTTAGAGGCTTGTGGCCTACATTTCAGTAATGTTTTGATTAATAATCCCGATAAGGCACAGAACTAATTAAAGCAGAGCGGCGCCGGCCCTTTGCATTTCAGAACTGCATGGCTGCATTCTGTTACACTAGCGGGACTGCCACCATTTCCTAACATATTTCCTTACATCCTGCATACTAAAAATTAGGGTCAAATGTCAGCTTGTGGCTTTGAACTGTCTGACAGTAATCTGACATTTCAGAAACAGCCTTCCCCCCCCCGCGTCCCCCCCCCATGGCTTGTAAGGTTTACACGCTGTTGCCTTTGTGGCTGCCCCTGCTGTGGGCTGGCATATTAAACTGAATCCGCACTCTGAACATGGCTGGAGTTTTGTTCTGTTTTCAGAGTCACATGAAAATTTGATGGTGTACATGCACGCAGCTCTGCCGGGACCTGATAAAAACATGGACCTTGTTTGTTTCCGAAAGGGTAAATCGTGCAGGAAACTGGGAAATCCATAGTTAGTCTTCAAAACAGCGGCCAAAACCAAATGAGCGACATGGCAACCATGACGTCTCTGCCGGCGCATGGAAACACGGAGCTCTCTGGTCTGCTATTCAAAGGCGGCCAACTGCTGTTTTTTTGAAGCATCTCGTAATGCCTGATGCTATTGTAGCTCCTAATACATGTTCTGCTTGTTTGGTTAGAATTGATAGGTAACAATGGTGTGTAAAGGAGCACAGTAAAGATTACTGCCTCACTGGGATTGTGAGATTGTTTTATAGATTTATTTTTTACTCTGGAAAGGTATAAAATAGTGCAACATTATGATTAAAGCTCTCCAGGATTTTGCATAGTGGCCAAATGGAACTGAATAGAGCATAAGCAAGTAAATGGAGTCTGTGAGCCGTGTACATAAATATTTTGCATTTGGCACTCATTTGAGGCATTTCATGGGGGGGGGGCATCCAACATAATATAGGATGCGCATGATCACTTCATACTACCATTGCCAAATGTCACAAAATCACTTCCTGTTTAGATTCACCTCCGTGCGAGTCGTGTATTCTGTGGGCTGGGCATTATGACCCGATAAAGAACAGCAGAGCGTGGAGAGTAGCAAGGCAGAGACAGGGCAGGTTGTTATTCGGAGGAACAAGCTGAGATGTGAAAGGACAATAGCGGGGCTGTTTGTCAAACGCTGGCCCATTGCGGGTCTCGTTACGATTTAACGGCGCATCAGGAAGCATTGTGACCATCCTGGCGGAATCAAGACTCCATAGACAGTGTCCAATCATAGGCTGTTTAAATGCCAACTTGCCTTGCAGAACCAAAATGCGACTTTTAATGCAGTAATCGCATGCATTTAGGGCGAGCAGGAGCAGGGTGGATGGTTGATGGGGTGTCATCAGTTTCTATGCTTGATGCGTATCTGTCCCAGTGCAGCAAAAGAGAAGCAGTCACACACATACAAGAACACACAGATATATAGATGCGTAATGACTCCCCTCCAGAAAAAAAGAATGCAATTATTTAGAGAGTGATGGACCATCTCATGGACACAGCTGAGGAACACAGACATGATATATACTCAGACATGAAGAATTTACTGAACAAGAAAAACACTCATGAGGTTTAGCACCAGTAGTATCAAACTTCAAAACATCCGGAAGCCATTCTCCGATTCTTATTTCCCCTGTTATTCGGTACTCGATCTCTACTCATCCGTTCTTCATTAGTTCTCCTCTCATGCTAGGGCAGGCACGTGGCACAGGGGGTAAAGCGGGGGCCTACAATCAGAGTACTCTGATTGCCGAGGACAAACAGGTGAGAGCAGGGTCTGAGCTGTACACTGTGACCTTTTCATGAATTTCCCTTTGCAAAAGCGAAGGGGTCAGCTGGGACCCAAATGGAAGCTGGCACGGAAAAAGGGAGATATTACTGAGGCACCTTTAAGAATGAATGCATCAAGCCAACCTGAGAGATGCTCTGAAAAAGCCCATCGAAGACATGGCAGCCTAGGATATGTCTGGCTATTC